CTCTCTCTCTCTCTCTCTCTCTCTCTCTCTCTCTCTCTCTCTCTCTCTCTCTCTCTCTCTCTCTCTCTCTCTCTCTCTCTCTCTCTCCCCTGCCCTACAGTGAAGGAAGAGAGTCCTTGCACACTGGCGTTCATTGATTGTTTTTTTGCTTGTTTGGACCAGTGGTTAACAGACCCCTTATCGCTCCGCATGTGCACACATTTTAACAGGCAGCCCATAGGTTAAGCCCTGAATCACTGAAATACTAGAAATAGGCATTTGAAGATAATTGTCTGAGTTTTATTGAGTTGTTTTCGCCCTGTTTCTTTTTTGGGTCAAGCTTTATATATGTCGAATTTGGTGTCTGTGGGAGCCTTGGAAATGGCTGCTTTGGGAAGCTCTGCGAATCCTGAAAATCCTGAAAAATCTGAAAACATGTTGGGGCCGTGGGGGTGAAGTTTTCATGGAAACGCCCATCTTCGCATGCGGATGGTAGTGGCTGTGTAGATAGGTCATGCGGAGAGTGCGTCCGTGCCTACACAAGGTCCCATGGGTGCCATGTGGTGAGTGTATATGCTGTGATGCAACTGTGTAGGGGTGGGCTGAATGTCACGAACAGTATGGGTGCAGTTTTCGAACACCGTGTCGCAGTGCAATGGTAAATGCATGTCATGGCCAAGCTCACCGATTCCATTCCCTGGGGCTGCAGATGGATCCTGGTATTATACTGATCATATATCAAGCGCAGTAACCAGCCAGGAGATTCCCACCTGGATTGTGGTGGGTGCGCAGATACCTCATTCAGATACTGTGGCCGTGCTTACGGAAGGTCCGATGGAGTCATGTGCTGAGTGCATATGCTGTGCTGCAACTGCGCAGGGTGGGCTGAATGGTAAAGCCATCTGGCTGTTATGGCCACGATCACCAGTTCGATTCCGTGTGGATGCAGATGGATCCTGGTAAAGTAGTTAAAAAAATATATATTAATGGGCTGTTCTTTTAACCATTTTCTCCTTTTCCTTTCCAATTTTTTACATTTTTTCACTGGAGATGAGTTCGGTTTCAAATGTTTTCGGGTTTGGGGGGTCTCTGTTCTTTTTTTGCTTTTCTCTTTCTCCTTTCTCCCTTCTTTGAATGAGATCATTTGGTATCGCTGATTGTGATTGGTGTTTGTGAATATTCATGTTTCGGTTGTGCTTGGTTTCTGTGAATATTTATTATTTATGCTTACTTATGTCTTTTGGCAGGCTCTGGCACAGCTAATCACAGCCCGCCTTGAAGGTTATACCCAGGATTGGCAAACCAGTTTGCAGGCAGAGACTGTGCGTAAGGGAGGCTGGTAAGTGTCTTTCCTTTTCTCTCTTTGCGGATATCAATCAAGTTTCATTAATTTCACTTTGAGTTTGTGTACAAACTAATGCACGCTAACTTCCAATGACTACCAACTTCTAAGTTCTAACTGCCTCTACCACTGCTATTACTAATTTTAGTAATTCATAACCACTGAGAACTGTTTTGTAGTCAACCAGCTACTACCAACCCGAAAGGACTGACTACTCGTTACTGCCAAGTTGCTAACTCATGCAACAAAAACAACAACAACGAGAGCAACTACTACTACTACTACTACTACTACTACTACTGCTACTACTGCTATTACTACTACTACTACTACTACTACTACTACTACTACTACTACTACTACTACTACTAGGACTACGACTACTGCTACTGCTACAACTACTACTAGGACTACGACTATGACTACAACTACTACTAGGACTACGACTATGACTACAACTACGACTACTGCCACTACTACCACCACTGCTACTGCTACCACTACCGCTACTACTACCACTACTACTACGACAACTACTACTACTGCTACCACTACCGCTACTGCTACAACTACCGCTACTGCTACGACTACTACTACCACCACTACTACCACCACTACTTGTAGTAGTAGTAGTAGTAGTAGTAGTAGTAGTAGTAGTAGTAGTACCATTGATTACTACTACGGTACTACCACTACCACTACCACTACCACCACCGCTACCACTACCACTACCACTACCACTACCACCACGCTTACGACTACCACTACGCCTACTACGACCACTCCAACTACTACTACCACTACTACCACAACCACCACTCCCACCACTACCACCGCTACTACCAGCATCACCACTACTGCCACTACCACCACTACTCCCACCACCATTACGACTACCACTACCACTTCCACTACCACTACCACTACCACTACCACTACCACTATCACTACTACTACCACTACCACTACCACTACCACTAACACTACTACTAACACCACCGCTGCCACTACCACCACTTCCACGACTGCCACCACTGCTACTAGTATTGCCACTACTGCCACTGCTACAACTACCGCCACTACTGCCACTACTACCGCTACTACTACTACCACTGTTACTTCCGCTACTACTACCACTATACTACTATCACTACTATCACTACTACCACTGCTACTACGCTACTACCACGACCACTACTACCACTACTCTTTGTTTCTTTGATGGCTGGAAGTTCTTCAAAGGTATGAAAAGCTGGAGGACTTTGTACCATCCATTCATGTGTACTTGAATATGGCTCAACTGCCCAAGGCACTTGCACTTCACTGGTTAAAGTGAGATAAACAACCACAAAGAAAATAAAAAATTCCTACAACAGAAAGATAAGAGCCAAAACTACTCAGTGCATTCCATCCAGTTTGTTAAACCACCAGTACTTGGCCCAGCTATAGGCCGTGGAAAAAAAAAATAGCCTAAAATTGTGGCTTGTTAACGGGAACGACTTTAGGAAGTACTGGTCGTTTAAAGGGCAAGTAGACAGGTGGAGGGGTTTTGCCGAGAAAGTACAAGCCCCTTTGACAAGTCTTGTCATAGCAGGACATTAATTTGCTTAACAGGCTAGCTTAGGCAGGGGTGAGGGGTGGTACATCATTCCAAAGAGAAGTAGTCAGGTACATCATTCCAGAGGGAAGTAGTAATCAATGCCGCACTCGTCGATCTCTCAACCATAATGGGGAGACCAGTAGGGCAAAATAGTTATTAGAAGCAAGTCCGGCAGTGTCACACTTTCAGTTTCGAATGGCAAAATAAGCATGTGCCTGCAACAAAATCGGGTGCGCAGTTTGAAAAGGGCAATATCTAGGGTTGCACCCCTGCCGACCGCTGACCCCGACCACCAACCGTATTGCAGCCGACCAGTCAGAAAACAACCATCCACTGATTTTTTTTCAAATTTGAGTTGGGGGCTGTACTGTGCTTGCTGAGTACAGCCCAAATCCGCTGAGAAACTTTTGGGGATGGGGGGGTTGGGGTTGGAGTATAGGGGGGGTATAGGGGTGATATAGGGGGTATTGGGGGGGGTAATAAGGGTGTTGGGGGCGGTCTGGGGGCGTTGGGGGGGGTGTATGGGGGTATTGGGGGCCGCTATGGGGGTGTTGGTGGTGTTATTAGGGGTTCTGGACCCCCCCCCCCCCAAGGAAAAAAAAAAACCTTTATTTTATAATTTTTATTTATTTATTTACTTTTTTGCGGGGTGCCGATGACCCCCGACCAGTAGGTGCCGACCAGCCGATTGGTCGGCGGGTCGGCAGTCGACCAGTCGAGGGCCGCCGACCTTCGGGGGATCCAACACTGGCGATATCGGTAAAAATGGTTGTGGCCCAGGTGTGATTTTGTTGCCCTTTTCAAACTCGGCGCGCCAGTTTGTTGCCCTTTTCGAACTCGGCCCCTCAGGTAAAAATGCTTCTGGTGCCCTTTCAAACTCAGTGCCCGAGTTTGTTGCCCATGTGTAATTTTGTCGGCCTTTCTTATAACTTATTTGTGCCACAACCGAACTTACCCCTATATCTTAACTCCGACAAGTTTTTTGATTTGTGATGTTCATTGGCTGTTCACTATGGCATCAACACGCAGGCAGCAAGGGGGAGTTCTTGTTGCAGGGCCTGGAGTAAACAGACTCCTGTACTTGGAAAAGGTATGGACATGAAAACTGATTCAATTTTGACAAAACCCAGTCATCGCATGAGCTCAGGACCTGTCTCTTATACACATCTAGATGTGTATAAGAGACAGCTTCAACACACACTTGGAAAAGGTATGGACATGAAAACTGATTCAATTTTGACAAAACCCAGTCATAGCATGAGCTCAGGACATAAGATTACTGATACACCCATAACCATAAGCAACGCAACTGTCACACGCACTTCAACACAAGCATTGCGAAAAAAAGTCGAAGTTCCCAATGGCATTGAATTGAAAATTTGAGCTTTGAAGTTATAGCGAGTAATACGATACTACTATCAACGTATCTGAGACACCTGTGGATTTTCTGTGTGTGTTCTAAATATCAAAATATCCCATTGTGAAAGGAAATTATAGGTCTTCACCGAGTGCTCTCTAAGCTTGTCTTAGAGAAGTAGGACACCATCCTTTCGTTTTTGAAAATTTTCCTCTTAACCTAACCATAGGGCCGAGGTGGCTCCATCCTTGATATTACTCGTTTGGGCATTTACCTTCGATGTTCCTGGCCGCAATATTTTCAGCGGCTTTTTAACCGAAATCGTCAGGCCCTACTGGCGGGGACATGGTAAGCCCTGACGATTTCGGTTCGAATAACGCCAAAATTGTGGCCAGGAACGTCAAAGTTAAGTGCCCAAAGGGTTGTTAATTAATTAATATATGACTGCCTCCTCAGTTTGAGCACACTTGGAACTTTGTTCAGTTGCTTGAAATAAGGTTTGTGTAACTTTGTGAGTCTGTGAGAAATTGTGACATTGTCTAGCACTCAGATAAAATTTAGAAAATGTGTGAGCAGTGATCAACTCTGTTCATTTTTCTGAAAATTTTGGACCGTTTTCTCGATTTTTGTGTGTCATCCTCGCGAAGGGGGCCATGCTAATTACCTTTCTCGGTATCGTTCGAATTTTAATGGATGTCCTAAAAGCTAGGCTGTTTTTTTCGGGCGTCCGGGCACCCAACTTCTGCCCGGGTACATGCCCGGGTACCCGGCCGGGCATGACCCCCGGGCAGGGTTCCGGGCAGCCTTAGGGCAAAAAAAAAAAAAAAAAAAAAAAAAAAAA